ACACAGAATTTATAAGTAAAAGATTAAAGGGTCACACCACTGATGAGTATGTATTAAACAAACCTAAGATGCTGTTAAATCTTTAATCAGTTGGAAGGTTTTAATTGATTAATATGTATATGTAAATCCCCAAATTCCTTTCAAGTCACTGTCCTGAGAGACCTAAGGTTTCATCAGTGTAAAGAAGAGGTGACATTTTAGGTCAAACAATGCATGTTAGGTGTGAGGCCTTGTCTAGAATATACATATACATATACACAGTCAATCAGTTAGTCAGTCAGTCAGTCAATGTGCCATAAGGAGTCACCTGACTTTCTGGAATTCATTTTTGTGAAGGCACAGTGTCCATATTTCATTTGGCTTTCTTTCCAAAAGTAAACTGCTCACCTCCAAATTAACTTTATGGGCATGACATGGCCATCATAGTGGTCATGTATTAATGCCATGTGGTGTGCTGTTTGTGTTGAGAATCATGGCAACAAAAATGAAACAGAAATTACTAAACTCGGAGAAAAAAAAAAAATCAATCATATATTATAAATGAATAATAGATACCAAAAGTAACAATTTTAAGACTTTAAGGTTCCACATTTTCAGATAAGTACTCTAAAAATGTATGCACATCTTTGTGGGTGCCAGCAATAATACTGACTGGTTGATTTATCTTTACCACTACCATCTGAGAGGACTTGCTATTCCTTCACTATCACTGGGTCAAAATCCTGCAACTCTCTCCCTAACAGCGCTGAATGAACCCATATCACCTATATGGGGAGGCAATGGCCTAGTGGTGTTATTGCTAGACTGTTAATCCAAAGACCCAGATACTGTCCTGGGGACCAGGTTCAAATCCTGCCATGGCAGATGGTGGAATTTGAATTCAATAAAAATTCCAGATGATTTTTTTTTTTTTTTTTTTTTAAAAACAGTCTAATGATGACTGTGAATCCATTGTTGATTGTCAGGAAAACCCATCTGGTTCACTAATGTCCTTTAGGGAAGGAAACTGCCATCCTTACCTGGTCTGGCCTACATCTGACTCCAGAGCCACAACAATGTGGTTGACTCTGAAATGCCCTCTGGGCAATTAGGGATGGGCAATGAATGCTGCCCATTCAGCGATGCCCTCATCCCATGAAAGAATAAAGACACATGAACTGCTTTGGTTCAAGAAGGCAACTCATCAACTTTCTGAAGAGTAGGTAACAGTGAATGCTGCCCAAGCTAGTGATATCCATATCCAGTGAATAAATAGAAAAACAGAACTGAATCATGAATCCCTGCAAAGTTCTTTCTGATTCACACACCATTCTGACTTGGAATTGTATCACTCACTGTTACTAATGTCACTGTGTCAAAAGTCTGGAACCCTCTTCCCAATAGCACTGTGGGTGCACCTATACCAGATGGACTGCAGCATTTCAAGGAAGTTGCTTGACACCACCTTGTCCAGGAAATAAAGGAAGGCAACAAATGTTGACCTTGCCAGCAATGCATATATCACAGGGAAGAATAAAATACACAGGGCAGGGGAACATTGCAAAGGTAAAATTATTGAAATCTTGCCTCACTAAGCAGTCTCAGTCAGACTCCTGAATCTCAGCAGATAAGACAAGCTTCAGTGAGATTCCCTTCGTCTGTATTTTGAATCGATCTGTTAGAACATGTTATCACACATCTCTGGAACAGATGGGATTCTGAATCCAGACCTTCTGACCAAGAGGCAGGGACACTACCATTGCACAATAAGTCTCAGAGAGAGACCCTTTCTACGATCCTTATAATTAGGCCACTGCATTTTACAAGTATTATTTTATGAAAATAATACTTCTATAATAAAGAATATTATAGCAAATGTATAGCACAATTGTATTGTATTAAACAGAGCATGAAACTATTGAGAGACAAAGTTCAGTAGACCTTCCAGAGAGAAAGGGAGCTGGTGCCAATGGAGAATAATACTCACAGCTGGCCCTTGGAACCTGCAGTGCCAAAAACATTTAATGACCTCATGAAGTAGTCAAGGTCACTGAAGGAATCTTCATATCACATTATTCTCACTAAACCACCAGCCTCTCACCCTACTTAAGGACCATATCCTCATCACACCTATCAGTATTCATCAACCTTCAAGACTCATGCCTAACATTCACATATTTCATGTCAACCACACACCGTCTGCCAGGAATGTCAGCCTCCCCAGCCACTGCTCTTGCTCCAGTTATAACCAGCTCTGCAGTTATGGAAGGCACAAAGTTTACAGATGAGAAACAGTCCACCTGGCTCTCACCTTCACCTGGTCCACCTCGGATTCCTCCCTTCCCTTCCATGACATCGCTGTTTCCATTTCTGGAGATATGTTGGCCACTGATATCCACTACAAACCCACTAACTTCCACAGTCACCTTTCAGCTCAGTCCACCCATTCTGTCCTACTTTCATTATCACTTCTTCAGCTTCTCTGCTGTCCTGGCCACCTCATCTGTCTATCTTTTTCGTATCTCTCTCTTTCTCTGAGCTCTGTTTCCACCTTCAAGCAGCTTCAGGGAGAGCTTCTTTCCAGCCATTATCAGATTGTTGAATGGGCTCTAGCCTCAAATAATGTAACCTGCAATGTAACCTGTACGCGTCCAAGTCTTTTTGATCTGTACATCCTTTGCCTGCTGTGATCTGCCTGTACCGCTCGTAAACAAAGCTTTTCAATGTATTTCGGTACATGTGACAATAAAATCAATCTCTCTTCCACCTCTAAGATGACCACAACTGGTGTTCTTAAGAAAAAAACTTCATTACCAATTCAGTGAGTGTTTAACTGTTTAATTGCAGTTTAATTAAAATACATACAGGCAGGTTTTCTTGTAAGTTGTAAAATAAATGTATTACACCTAATACTCAATCTGAATAAAAATACTAAAGTCCACATAGAAAAGTTCAAACACACATACTCTCCCATTTTATAATGTGTGATGTTGGAATTGTTTGAATGAAGAAAGTCAATTGTATGTGAATTCTGTAGATTGATGGTTCCAGACTCGACCTAATGGTCTTTCTGAATTCCATGTTGAGTTGATTTAAAGATGTGGACGCATAATTTCTGTTTTTTTTCCTGAAGTTAGCAGCTTCCGTGTTAGTATTTAAGACACAGCTTGCAGTATCTGGGGTGGTCAAAAAACAGGCAAGGCAATAAGCTTGTAGGATGGCAAGAGAGAGCACCCACTTAGGGACTCTCTGGTCTCATTCTTTGGAGAAGCAGCTTATTCAAAACACAAAATGGATGACCTCATTTAATCGTCATCCTCGTTTCATGTGGAATCTCTCCCACAGCCTCCCAGCTCATAGTTGTCCAACCCCGTAGTTCTATCTTCTTCCAAAAAAATCAGTAAACAGGATGGCCTGGACAGACCCATTGTTTCCACCTGTTCCTGCCCCATGAAACGCAACTCAATTCTCTATATAGTCTCTTCCCACTTACATCTGCGATTTGTCTGATACTTTACATAAGTTTCAAAATTTCCAGTTCTCAGACTCCAGCCACCTCCTCTTTACCACGGACATGCAATCCCTTTACACATCCAACCCCCATCAGGATGGTCTCAGGGCTCTTTGATTCTTCCTGGAAAATAGGCCTGAACCATTCCCATTCACCACCACCCTCCTCTGGTTGGCCAAGCACATCCTCACTTTGAACAACTTCTCTTTTAACTCCTCTCACTTTCCTCAGATCAAAGTTGTGGCCTTGGGCCCCAATTATGCCTGTCTATTAGTGGAGTACGTGGAACATTCCTTGTTCCAGTGCTATACAGGTTACTTCCCACAACTCTTTCTCCAATACATCAATAATGTCATCGGTACTGCTACTCTCTCTTATTCAGAACTGGAAAAACTCATCAATTTTGCTTCCAATATGCACCTGGCCCGCACCTTCACTTGGTCCATCACCGATTCCTCCTTTCTGTTTCTCTCTTCTCTCTCCGTTTCTCTCTCTTGCCATCCTACAAGCTTGTTGCGCCTTGCCTGTTTTTTGACCACCCCAGATGCTGCAAGCTGTGTCTTAAATCCTAACACGGAAACTGCTAACTTCAGAAAAAAAGACAAATTATGTGTCCACATCTTTAAATCACCTCAACACGGAATCCAGAAAGACCATTGGGTCCAGTCTGCAGGGCTTCTGAGTAGTCAAGACAGCAGGACCATTGTTTTTCCAGGCAGATGGCCTGGTCAACAATGTTTTAGGTTCATGAGCTTCCAATGGACACGCACTCTCACCCAATGAGAGAAAAGTCCTGAACCCATGTGCGACTGGGGGATCTAACCTTTTCCCCAAGAAACCAGGCTTTTTCCCCCCCCCGCAAAAGGGCTGATGTGAGAATGGGCTAAATGAAATAAATGAATACATGTGGCTGCTGCCAGACTAAAACATATTCACTGATAACCTGCTCATGTCATAAAGTGTATCACTAGCTGCAGATTTATGGAAGACCTGGTGTATATCCTCAATGTATAGTAGCCCCACAGTGTCTGGCAACAGCATCTGCAGCATTGGGAGTTCAGGTGCCATGACAAAGGTGCTTTCTGTTTATTGAATGAGGAAACAATATTCTGGCATTGTCTGAAGTAGATGATCTCTGTGATCTCATAAAGGTGTCAGAAAATAGCGCACTAAGAAATAATGGGGAGCCTTCCTTTGGAAAAAATTCCCTGTTTTAAAATCATTTAACAAAAACTTACCTGTCATTGAACTTAATGCAGACCTCAAGTGGCTCTCATCAACAGAGACATGGCTTCATGGCAGTTTACATCACTTGTCCCAATGTGTTTCACTTGTTGCAGGAAGTAGTAGTTTTTCCTTGTTGACTATGAACTAATTGAATTCATATTTTTTTGGTACAGCCAGCAGTTCAACTGCATTAACAGTTTTGCTCCTGGCTGGGCCATCATATATTGTAATCCTTTGCAATGATATTGTCACAAACTCATTAGATATTGGTTTGTCTCTGCAGGCAGCAAGACTTGGACAACATTCAGCTTAAGCTGAAAAAGGGCAATAACCATTTACCCCACAAAAATGTCAGACTAAACCACCTCCAACAAGAGGGGAGGCAGCCATATTCCCAGCAAAACATTGATCTCCCCTAATGGTAGGTGAGTCATTGCTGGACCATTAATACAGAAATCTGGATAATGTGCTCTGGGGATGTGGGTTCAACTTTGCCATGGCAGACAGTCCATTGGAATTCAATAATAAAATCTAGAATCAATAGCTTAATGACTATGAAACTATTGGCAATTGTCAGGAAAAACCCATCTGGTTCACTCTTGAAAGAAATCTGCCAAGTTTACCTGGTCTGGTCCACATGTGACTTCAAACCCATAGCAATGTGCAAACAACATCAATGATGAAACATAACAAACGATAAGACAGACAGTAATCCCGACACTGACCAGAAGGAGCGAACTCAACACCCTCAACACATTGGAAAGGCAAGCCCTGGAAGGACTGAAGAAGGACAAGAACATCACCCGCAGACAAAGGGTGCATGACAGCAATACTAAATAAAAGGGACTACACATCCAAGGCACAGGCACTGCTTGCCGATGAAAAGACATACCGGCCAGTACAGACTAACCCAACACTGCAACTAGGCAACAAAATCCTCTACACTCTAAAAAGACTCAAACAAACCGGACAGATCAACAAAGCAGACTTCTTAAGAATGAAACCCGAAGGAACCAACACACCCCGATTCTATGGCCTCCCGAAAGAACACAAACCAGAAGTACCCCTTTAGACCCACAGTCTCCCTACCAGGCATGCCATTTCACAGATTAGCCAAGGAACTACAAAGGAGACTCAGGCACCTGCTCAACAAGTCTCCCCACTCAATCCACTCAGCCCAAGAATTCCTTGATTCCATCAAAGACACAAGGATAGATGATAAGGAGACAATGATATTGTTTGATGTCACTGCCCTATTCACTTCAATAGACATACCACTAGCAAAGGAAACAATGACAGCACTACTGGAACAAGAACAAGACCCCAGTGAAACCATCTCCACAGACATGTTGAAACTACTGGACCTCACCACCCACTTCACTTTCAACGGCCAAACATACGAACAAATCAACGGGACACCCATGGGATCACCTATCTCCAGACTTATAGCCGAGGCAGTGATGCAAAAGGACAGCCCTTCCGCTAATCCAACCAAAACTATGGTGGACGACACCTTTGTCATCATTAAACCGACCAAACTAGAGGAGACACACAAACTAATAAATAACACCCTCACCGGAATAAAATTCACCAGAGAAGAGAAGAACAAACAGCTCCCATTCCTGGACGTCATGGTAGAGCGCAAGACAAATGGGGATCGCCAAACGAAAGTACACAGAAAAGCCACACACACTGACCAGGTACTGAACTTCAACAGTAACCATCCTAACACACACAAATGAAGCTGCGTGCGAACATTATTTAAACGGGCGACAACACACTGCAACAATACAGAACGATGCCGAGAGGAAGAATACCTCTTCCAGGTTTTCAAAGATAATAGATACCCAAAAAACTGGGTCAGAAGATGCCTACACGAACAACATCAGGAAGATACTACATGCCCCGACCCATTCATCACGCTACCTTACATCAGGAACACATCAGAACGAACCACAAGACTCCTACGACCGCTGGGCATCAGAGTGGCACACAAACCCACATCAACTGCTCACCCGAACCAAAGACCCACTCCCCACTATGGACAGGACCAATGTCATCTATAAGATTCCCTGCAGAGACTGTGACAAACACTACAACTGACAAACAGGAAGGAAACTAACAAGGGTACACGAACACCAACTGGCTACAAAAAGACACGACCAATACTCACTCATCTCTATCCACATGGATAAGGAGAACCACCAATTTGACTGGGACAACACCAAAATCCTGGGACAAGTTAAGCAGAGACAGGCACAGGAATTCCTAGAAGCCTGGTACTCCACGAAGAAAGCCATCAATAAACACATAGAACTCGACCCCATATACACTCGACTACGAAGGAAAACCGGAAGTGAGATAATCCAGCTCAACGGACTCCAGAGTTCAAAAAACAGGCGGGAAAACACACCGGCACTTCATCGGAGGCTGCACTGATGATGTTACCCAGCAGGGTAATGAAACATCTGCGGAACAACAAACTAGCTCGGCAAGCCAACCAACCACAACAATGTGGTTGACTGTTAAACTGCCCTCTGAGCAATAAATGCTTACATCCCTTGAAATGAATAAGAGAAAGCAACATATTGGAAGTTACTATCGAACAGAAATTTAACTGGTTCAGTCTTAACAGTACATGTTAAAGGCCTGGAACTATACAATGAATAACTCGCAATAACTCGCCTCATGACTCCCAAAGCCTTTTAAACATCTATAAGACTTAAGTCAGGAGTGTGATGGAATACTCCCCACTTACCTGGATGAACGGAGTTCCAGAGTCAATTCTCCCATTATGAATTTGAGATGCTTAATTTTCTGTTAAGACAGAAGTTAGAACAACTAACTTGATCTTACCCAATTCTTAATATGCATTAACTTTAAATGTAGTATAAATAAACACACTTTTCAAATGATATTGAATTGCGTTGAATATTTATTGAAGAATTCCCACTAAAATAAGCACAAAATAGTGTTACACTGGGTATATGGGGTATAACAATAAAGCAGTTGAAGGTCACATTTTCAATAAAACACGTACTTTATCATAAAGCATGTTTATACATCTGCAAAGTGCCACTAAAATACTACTACGCCAGTTGCACAACTAAATTCTAATCAAACAAATTTAAACACAGTAAATAATGGATACATGCATCAGCATTTAACAGTCAGAAACTGGAATAGTTTAGAACAAGCAGGAAGGCCTGCATGGAAGGAAGAGCTACGAAGACATTAAAATATTTCTTAAGGTGGGCTTTCAGACCATATCAAACACTGCAGCACCTCATACTTGGTGGTACTATATGGTTTTGTTGAAAAGGGAGCAAACACAAAATAGCAAACATCCTTTTCTCCCCACTTTTCCCCTGTTTGCAATGAGTATTTAGACCATTTGTTCTCCAGCAAAAAGGAAGGATAGCTTCTTTGGAAAACAAACAAATCTGGGATAAAATGGACACCACACCACCTTTGTTTCAACAAAGGGCTATCTGGGCAATTGCATTGACTGTTCAGCTCGTAAGTATTCTCTTTAGGTTGACAAACGTGGTCATAATTGTTACTGAAACTGTGAAGGTGAGAGCTTGTCATTTAAAACCATAATTGCCTACCTAAAAAAGAAAGCCGGGCCTATTTAAAATGAAAAGGAGGTTGGTACTGGGAATTTTGTTCTGCTGACTAGTGAGAGTTCATCTGCTTGGCTCTTAGAACTAATAAATCTGAAAAATGTTGGCTCTAATGTATTGAATTGTGGAATAAAATGGAACTGACTCCTTGAGGGAGAAGAGTTTTGGGTTCTGCATCTCCTGCTTAAGGCAAAGCATTCTGCTACCATTCATTTGCTTTTGAAGAAAGGGTCTTCCATTGGCAAGTACTTCTTCCTCAGAACACTGTAATATTACATAGAATACAAATCTGTGGATACAACCAACGTATTTCCTTAACCACCACACTACTTCCACTGAGTTGAGAAATTATTTAACTTGAGAAATGATTTTAAGATTGCCTTATAGTAATATTTAGTATGTTTTACTCTTTAAGGGTATAATTCAAAATAATAAACCAATGTCTCAACCTGCTGCTGAGTATTTAAAGATGCATTTTTAAAATATTTCTTAAACTATGAAAGAAGTACCTAAAGGGAGAAAGTAATTTAAAAAGGTAAGGTTGCAATGCTGCAATTGTCCCTTTTTCTCTCAGGCACTTTCATGCACCTAGTTTGCTGCAAGTCAACTTTTTAGTCAACAGGTACTGCTCCTAGCCTAGCAGATCAATATGAAAGCCACCGCACATCCAGAAACAAGTCAATCCAGTCCAAAAAATGAAAGCAATCAGAAAAGCATCAATACCCTCTCAGAACAGGGAAAAAAAAAACAAAAATCCATCAGAGCTACCTTGCCAAGGAGCATATTTAAAATCCAAAATAGCACCATTCATCAGTGTCTCATATCCCGTGGCAGCACCTCAATCACTTACCACAAGGAAACAATGCATTACATACTATTACAGTATTTCTATACATAAAATTTACATGGCTAAAATATGAGGTTACATAGGCAAGTGAAGATTTTAGACATACATTATGAACTAACAAGCTGATTACATTAAAATTAAAAGAAAATGCAAGGGACTCTCAGCCTTTGTAGTCTAATGAAAACATCACGTGTAAGAGAGGAAATGCTTTGGTTGCACACTTCCAATGGAGTAATGGAAGACAATGTGGTGCATGGTACGAAAAGGCCTGAAGGCCCACCTGTATTGGTCGTAAACATTGTTGTTCACAGTGTGTGTTTATTAGTGTTTCCAGTTTAGTAAGACTGATATTTGTTGTTTTGTGGTAATATTGTCCATGGTACAAATCAGCCAGGTTCAGAGTCCCCTCAATTTGTTTTATCTAAAATTAAAAAAAAAAACACAAACAAACTCTGAAACTGTGCCACCTCAGCAACATTCAGGCACCAGGTCAACACACATGGAAGAATAATGATTGAATATACAGTGACTCCATTGACTTTTGGCAAAATCTGAATCTGGCTCCATTGAGGGAGCCAGGCCCAAGACTTTGCTCTTATTGTTCCCCTTCTTGAAGCCAGTATTTTTTCCTGATGGGTGACATGAAGCATCCCCTTTAAGAAAAACAAAACAATAAATAAACATGTATGTGTAACATGGTTCTTCAGTCAGATTTTTACATTAGAACATTAATAACTCCACAAAAATTATACTTAAGGAATAAATGCAAATTATAGCGTTAATTAAAGAATGAATCTTTAATTCCACAAAATGCACAAAACAGCCAATAATTAATCACTGCCAGTAAAGAAAATTCTGAAAACAAGCAGGTTTTTGATGAATATAATTTTACACCAAGAATCTTTTCACACCACTTTGCCCCCACAACTTTTAAAATCTTAGCTATTTGCTGCCACAAATTATTAGAACAGCAGTAAATGCATTTTCCGTGTGAACTTCAGCATCCTCATCGAGTGTTTGAAAAAAATCCTTTTAAATCAGCATCCCAGATTGTTGTCACAACAAAGACTCTCACCACCTTTGTGAAAGTGGTAGAAGACATCGGAAACCCTGAATCCTGAACCTGACAATTCTTATTTTCAAGATGGTCAACGGTTTACACATGTGCATTTCACAGAGACAACTGGCATTTAAGTGAGCAGAAGCGATCATTTGAAAGATCATAATTTGATCAGATCCATTAAAATCTGAATGTGGAGTCACCAGTGTCTGAATGGAGATTAGACCAGGTAATATTGGCTCTGTTCATTAA